ACGAGGTGAAGAACACGTTCTGGATGCCATTGGAACGTTTTCTCGATACATCTTTACACATGTCCTTTGTCATAGATGACAAATACGCCGTGCACAGCTTTTCAGTGAGTTTCTTTCGAGTACACCGCTTTAACTTTTTCTGGTTTACTGCTACAACGACAGAGGCGGCGTCCGTTGAGCTTCGGGGGAATTTCGTATAGAAAGAGTGGCGAGGGCTCAGATTCCAAATCTGGTTTGCTTAATCGCGGAAATAGCCTCATCAGACGGGAATTCGTTCAAAATTCGAGTCTGATCAACTAGGCCGAAAGCACGCCGAGAAATTGAATTCGTCTTTGTTTGAGGGGCAATCTTCGGATGTCGGAATGCGTCCGGGTAAAAGGGTATAGCGCCGTTTTTGCAAGGAAAATGCCGAAGAAAAAAGTACAACAAGTTTTGTTTCACCTGACACCAAAAAAGTTCATGGAATAAAGTCATGTATGTGTTGAGCCAGGCGAATAGTATTTTGCTTCCGGAACCTTTGTCCCGTGGTCCCTATATAATCATTATTTTTATATGTAGCACAGCTCCCCTTTCTGCACAAAAGGTTTTTACTTCTCAAATGCCTTGTGAGGAAGGAATTGTTGAGCTACAGTTGATACAAGTGTACTTGAGAATTTAGAAACGCTCTTGGTTTCTTCCGTCTGTCTCGTGCAGCGTTACAAGTAACTAAATAAACAAATAAATAAACCGACAAGTAAATAAGTAGATAAACAAATAAGCAAAAAAATTAAACGCAGTTTAGCTTGACAGTGAAAAGCGTTTTTCTTCCAGTCGCGTTATCTTGTAATATCCTTGAGGGTGGGGCGATGGCTGCGTGGTCGTTGATGAAGGCGAGGTTTTTATGATGCAGCTGCAACGCCACGCAACATTTGCCATGAATGACTCGCGCCAACAGTCCCCAGCTGTGCAAAAGCAGCAGCTTGACAGATTTCTTTGAAGGGATTTTTAAAGCTGCAGAGCTGCAGAAGCATAAGCCAGAAGTACAGAAGCTGGTGTGTCTTACGTGCTTAAATGCCCTCCCCCCTCACAAAGGCAGCGGTTGCAGTGGTACCCAAGGATTAATTAGTGCTGAATGCGACCGTAATATCATTAAATTTGATATTATTGTTACTATATTTGAAAAGTCACAGCATTCACCAATCGTCCGCAGCATCACTTTTAACAAACGCACGTAGCATCTTGAGCTCTCGTTTGCCTTACCTGAGGTCCTGTAAGATGCTACTTGCGTAAGTTATACCACTATGGTGAGAAAGCGACACTGTTTACCCTCTACAGCCCACTATTTGCTAAATAATGATTTTTCTTGAAGTATGTTTCGAAACAGGACCGAAAATTCTCCCCCACGGGTAACTGGGGCCATGGCACGCATATCACACACGTTTGACGCTAAAATAGCCTTATACCTGCGTCGTAAGCTTTGGCGCCACAACACCATGAATCACCAAATTCGCTGAAAAATTGCTCCAGGAGGAGTTCGATCCGGAGAACATGATCATCACCTCATCACATTCTGCTGCAAATCTTAGCTTACCACTTGCAGGTCTGTGCCTTACTCTATAACAAGAAGTGGTGGAGCGCTTCCTATCTGAGTATCTGAGCAGGGCCAACCGTGCGTTGGACAAAGTCCAACGAGGGGTGGAGGGGTCGTATTTGGGGTGGAAAAAGGGGAGGGTCGTATTTTGAGGTAGCGTTAATGTCAATGGTGTGTATAAGCCCTTTCCCCCGCTCGACGGTAATTTTGGAGGGAAAAAGTGGGCGGAGTTTGTGTCGACTGGTCTCAGAATCGAATACTATAGAATGAGCCCCATGATGGCGATGGCAGGCGAGGGTGGTGAAGGGTTGACCCTGAGGGGGGTCGTATCGAGGCCCTCTAGAAGGGGGAGGGGGGTCGTAAAATTTTCGAAATCGGTCCAACGTGACGGTTGACCCTGGTGAGAAGGGGAGGAGGGGATGAAAAGGGTTAAAAGGAACACAAGACTTTCCGCCGATAGTTTGCCCAAAAAAGGGGGGTATCAACAAGTGGTGCCGGTGGTACATCGATGATCAAGCCGCTCGTCGAATATCGTCCAGTTTAGTTAGTCTATTCGTTACGCAAAGAGGGAGTGATTCCGAGTCATTCAAGTAGGGGGAATCTCCATCTTCTTCAGTGGCTGTAAGCATTTTGACTGGGCTTCTCTATGGCACGTTGACGACTGTATAACATGACGTCATGCCACACATTCACCCCGGAGCAGACTAATTTTGCTCCGTTTATAAAGCTTTTTCTCGTGCTATAAACGGCCCATATACGGTATTGGGTGAGAAGAACAATTTGTTCGCTATTTATAATGAAATCCTCGAAGGATCACTGACTACTGATGAAAAAATGCAAAAAACTTACCGCAGCACCCGCCCAACAGCGGTCGTCAATGGGTTAGAAGAGCCACCGCAGGAACTCGAATACTTGGAGCATTTCAAAGAGGACGGGTCATCGCCTTATTCTTCGTCTAGTGAGAACCATCATGCGGACCCATACTTTTTGAAGGGAGAGTACTTCGGGTTTCGGACAAGGCAGTGCTATGCATGTACTGGTGATAATCTGAATGGTTTTGGGGAGGGCAATTTTTCTTTAATTTTAATTTTAAAAATTCTAGAAAAAATTTTGGACTTATTTTATGAATTCGAGACTCGAGCCATTAATTAAGCCACGATACGATGCACGTCGGACATGTTTCATGTGTACAAGCGCTGTAACATTCCTCAAGATTTTCTTATACTTGTCCTCATGCAGATGTGTCGAATGTGCTCCACATCGCAAAAACCCCTCCATGAATTTTCACGGTATTCGGGCAGCCTATATGCTACAGAGTTGGAAGGGATACCCAGAAAGAACTTCGAGTCTAATAGATAACTGTCGTTGAATTCAAATCCTAGTTGTACCCAACGACTCACTTCGAACTAAGGATCAGTTAATTGGTACCAGACTTGTCTGGGAGGATAAAAACACTGACTTGTACATCGGCTGGCCCGCAAGTCATTGTATAGGCCACATCGCATTCAAACGCCACTACGAATGTACAAATGGAAGTAGAATGCGTGCCGCATCCCAAAAAGGGTTAAGTATCTGAACAAAGTGGATTTCGAAAGAACATTAAACCTGGAAACATCTGGCAGTATTTGTGCCCATCAATAATGGCATGTTTCAGTTCGAAGAGGCACACACGTATGGCGTGACGGCGTTGATGTGCATCGTGACGGCGATGGGTGTGCTTCAGAAGATGCCGCCATTCGACATTGCACCGCTTTGCCGACCTCTCGCCTTGCTACCATGACCCCTACCCAAGTGATGGCCGAAGTCTGTGAATATGCTGGTCAACCGTTCGTCACTCTTTCTAAACTGTAAACTGCCTGTACATTTGTAGAATGATTAGGAGCAGATGCGCTTTTGTTAGCGCTGTAGGTGCTCTTCGATTCTACTGAAATTATTGTATTATTTTGGATGCTGTTATGATTTTTAATATTCTGGAAATGAAGTTTGCCATACTCATTGAGGCTGTGACGAAGGCGGAGAAGCCTATACTGTAGCCAGTTGAAGGTGTCTAGTCTTGGGTTCTCATTTCAAACTCACCATCAGGAAGCTCACTGATGGATGGCCTATGAAGGAAGAGGCAGGTCGGGAGCTAGTTTGTTACAGGGTCAGGGTTACCATCATTTCCGGAAAGTGGTAGAACC